GGGGGGGAGGGGGACCCCAAAAAGGGGGGGTGGGACCCCAAAAAAGGGGGGTGGGAATCCAAAAATGGGAGAGTGGGAACCCAAAAAGGGAGAGTGGGAACCCAAAAAGGGGGGGTGGGAACCCAAAAATGGAGGGTGGGACCCCAAAAATGGGGTGTGGGAACCCAAAAAAGGGAGGGGGGACCCCAAAAAAGGAGGGGTGGGACCCCAAAAAGGGGGGGGGAACCCAAAAGCGGGGGTGGGATCCCAAAAAGGGGAGGGGGAACTAAAAAAGGGGGGGGAACCCTAAAAGGGGAGGATTAAATGCAAAGGACCCCAAAAAGGGAGTGAGGGACCCAAAAAGGGAGGGTGGGAACCCAAAAAAGGGGGAGTAGGAACCCAAAAAAGGGAGGGGGGAACCCAAAAAGGGGGGGTGGGAACCCAAAAATGGGGGGTGGGACCCCAAAAAGTGGGGGCAGGACCCCAAAAAGGGAGGGGGGGACCCCAAAAGGGGGGGGTGGGAACCCAAAAAGGGGGGGTGGGACCCCAAAAAGTGGGTGCAGGACCCCAAAAAGTGAGGGGGGGACCTCAAAAGGGGAGGGATTGAGTACAAAGGACCCCAAAAAGTGAGGGGGGGACCCCAAAAAGGGGGAGATTAAATTCAAAGCAGCCCAAAAAGGGGGTCCCCAAAATCCTCTGGGCCCCCTTTGGGGGTCTCAGGGGGACCCCAAAATCCTCTGAGCCCCCTTTGGGGTCTGGGGGACACACCCAGGGGTCCCCAAAATCCTCTGGGCCCCTCCTTGGGTGGGATGGGGGGTCCCGTTTCCCCTTTTAGGATTTTGGGGACCCCTCCCAAAGTGGGGGGGGCCCCTTTGGGGGTCTCGGGGGGTCCCCAATTCCCTGTCTGTGCCCCCCCCAGTCACCCCCCGGCCCCCCTGGACCTGCCAGGGAAGGTTTCCCAGTTGGAAGCGATGCTGAAGCAGCTCCACAGTGACCTGGAAAAGGTGAGGGGGGACCCCAAAAAACTGGGGGGGGCTGGGACCCCAAAGAGGGGGGGAATGGGGGGCGAAGGACCCCAAAAAAAGGGGTGCAGGACCCCAAAAAGAGGGAAATGAGGGCACAGGACCCCAAAAAGGGGGCACAGGACCCTAAAAAGAGGGAAATGAGGGCACAGGACCCCAAAAAGGGGATGTAGGACCCTAAAAAGAGGGAAATGAGGGTACAGGACCCCAAAAAGGGGTCCCAGGACCCCAAAAAAGGGGAAATGAGGACACAGGACCCCAAAGAGCGAATGGGGACCCCCAAAAAGGGGTCCCAGCCCCCCAGGTGGGGGTGTCCCGTGCCAGGGTGTCCCTTTTCCCCCAGGAGAAGCAGGACAAGGTGGTTCTCCAGGCCCCAAAAAGGGGGTGCAGGACCCCAAAAAGGGGTCGAGGGATCGTAAGGCCATCCAAAAAGTGAATGGGGACCCCAAAACGGGGTCCCAGGACCCCAAAAGGCCCCTGAATGGGGGTGTCCCGTGCCAGGGTGTCCCTTTTCCTGCAGGAGAAGCAGGACAAGGTGGTTCTCCAGGCCCCAAAAAGGGGTCCCAGGACCCTAAAAAGTGAATGAGGGCCAAAAAAAACGGCAAAACGAGGTCCCAGGACCCCAAAAGGCCCCTGAATGGGGGTGTCCCGTGCCAGGGTGTCCCTTTTTCCCCAGGAGAAGCAGGACAAAGCGGTTCTCCAGGCCCCAAAAAGACGTCCCAGGACCCCAAAAATGGGGCAATGAGGGCACAGGACCCCAAAAAGCAGGTGCAGGACCCCAAAAAGGCCCCCAGGTGGGGGTGTCCCATGCCAGGATATCCCATTTTTCCCAGGAGAAGCAGGACAAGGTGGTTCTCCAGACCCCAAAAATGGGGCACAGGACCCAAAAATGTTGATGTGGAACCCCAAAAAGGGGTCCCAGGACCCCAAAAGGCCCCTGAATGGGGGTGTCCTGTGCCAGGGTGTCCCTTTTCCCCCCAGGAGAAGCAGGACAAGGTGGTTCTCCAGGCCCCAAAAAGACGTCCCAGGACCCCAAAAA